GTATTATCCGAAGGAGTGAACCAATATTTTCCATTTCGTATCTGACCTAAATCAGATAAAAATATTTCAGCGTGTCAGATTTAGACTACATTGACTATCTTCTTTGATTTTATGAGATATGAGATAATTTTTGAAAAATGTTGAAATAAGCATGAGGTTCCAGATATAGTTGACCGATGTATTCCCCTTCATAAAAAAATGAGAAAAAAATTAAGATGCCCAAAATTTATAGAAATTCGAATATTTATTTCCAATTTTATGAGAATAACTGTTAACAAAATTGGCCGCTATATTCCATATTCACATCAGATCTCTGGTGGAGAGATCTTTACAAATTTGTAAGGAATCGGAAGCTCATATCGCATTTTATTAGCTTCATAATTATTCAAAATTGTGGCCCTTTGTGGGGGAGGTAACAGAGGGAGTGAGCCGATGTATCCCATCTTCGCAACATATCTGGTGTTAGTAGATATATTAGAATGTGTGTAGTTTAGAGTGTATCGGATGCTTATTTCGAGTTGTATGAACTTAATGGTAATTCAAAATTTGGCCCTTTGTGGGGAAGGTACATGAAGGCACATCGAACATTTATTTTCAATTTTATGCGAAAAATTGTAAATCAAAATTTTAACTTTTTGTGGGGGAGGAGGAATTAGAGAGAGTTGGCAAAATAATGCCTTTAAATCAGATCTCTTGTAAAATTGGAAAATATTAAGATATGCCAGGTTTGAATGGAATCGCCGTAAAGTTTGAAAAGAATCGGACTCTTATTTCACATTTTAGGGCGTTTTTTTTTTAATTTGATACCTTTGTGGAGGAGGTACCAGAATGAGTATATCGAGAAAATCGACATATCTCATCTTCAAACAAGATCTTGTGTTAATAGAAATATATAATTATTTTAATTTTTGACCCTTCGTGTTGGAGGTAAAAGAAGGAGTGAACCGATATATACCATCTTCACACCAAACCTTGGGTTAATATTGTGATGCTTGTAGTCGGCCTCTTAGATCGCCTTTTTTAAGAGTTATAATTATTCAACATTTTGACCCTTTGTGGGGGAGGTACTTGATAAAGTGGACCGACATTTTCCATTTTTGCACCTGACCTAGCACTGATGAAAATATTAGGATTCGCTAAGTTGGAGAAATATCGGATAATCCGTTTACTTTTTGTGCAGAAAATTACATTTTTTTGGAAAATGTTGACATTTAGCGTGGGAGGTACCAGAAGGAGTGGACCGATATTGCCCATCTCCGAACCTGATCTAAGCTTGACAAAACACCATGTTTGGATCAAATCGGATACTCCCCTCGAGAGTTGTCGTGCGCCCCAGCCAGCCAGACAGACGAACGGATGGACACCTCTAGATGGACACCTCTAGATGTCGTGAAACAGATTTGGTCTAAAGATACCTATAATATATAATAAAAAAAAAAAACAAATAGCGAAGCCCATATTATCATTTGATTTGGTTGGAAATCCTGGAAGATATCTTTAAAATACCGAAAATTGGGAGGTGTCATCAAATGGGAGCTACACCAATCAAAGGACCTGCAGAAGATGTTTAATGCAGAGAGAAAACAGTCCTGTCGAGAAACACAAATGTAAAGTTTCGGCTAATTTGTTGGAAAATTGTGCCAGAAACATTAAAAATACCGATAATGGGGAGGTACCTTTAAATAGGGGCTACAACTTAGCGTGGACCAATATAGTCAATTTTCAATACCAATCAACCTGCATGTAATATAAGCCTTTGTGCAAAATTTCAAAGCTCTTGATTAAATAGACAGACGGACATCACTAAATCGCTCTTTAATTTTATTCTGATCTGAAATATATATATCTTTTTTAGGGTTCTGCGACGGGTATCAATTTTTATCAATTCCGAGATTTATTTTATTTTTCAAAAAATTTAGGTTTTTAAGGATAATTTGAGCCCATTGATATCAAACATTTAATCTGAAAAATTTTCCGATTTGTACATTTAGTGTAACGGTTACATATATTGCCAATAATTTTACCATTTATAATTTTTTTAAATTAATTTAAAAAATATCCAAAAATATGGGTTTTAAAAATTTTCAATTTTAGGGGAACTTTTATTTTGTTACTGACAGATGACTCTTACCACCTACACAAAAATCTGCTTCAAATTTTACCCTTTCCATACATAAATATTTTTTTTCTTGAAAAAGGTTGTTTTTGCCATTCGAAAAATCGAAAGAGGAGCGAAATGGGCTAATATGCCCTCCATTTTGGGCTAATTTAGAAATTTCGCAGTAGTGCCCTGTATAACATGTTCCTGATTAACTTTTTTCGAGGGCCTTGACCATAATAGTATCAAGGATATCCAAAGCCATGGTTCTTAAAAAAAATCATAAAATCAATAAAATCCATTTTTTTAGATTTTATGTAAGGTCATTAAACTTCTTCAATCGTATTGACTACACAAGTCCAAGTTCACTGTACTCTTTAGTTACTTTTATGTTGTCATAACTTTCATGTTTATCAAATAAAGTTCAATAAACAAATTGATTATTCCGTCTTGTTATTCACTTAAGTTAATGGCTCTGGGGAATAACGAAGATTGAAGCGCAAAAACAACTCCTTGAATAAAACCAAATAAATGAAATTGAATCCTCCTCTTCGCAGCATTAATGTCAAAAGTTTGTGTGGCGGTCATAAACTTCAGCGTCATTGTAGCCGAGTGCTTTATCGTTTGCATATACCCCGAGGAGCTTTATGCGATTTTGATATGATTTACATTTTGTTTGGCTCGATATTTTGGGACGGGTTGCCATTTTCGATACTAAAATCGAAAGGCCTAATAAAAAACAGATTCCAATGAATTCAAAAAGAAAAAAAAAAGAAAAATTAAAAATACTTAGGTTCAAATATTTAATAAATTTAAACAAGCAAAAAAACTGTAAGTTCGGCCGGGCGGAACTTTAAAAACACTCTACCATTTGGAACGAATTTGGATATTTTCAAAAATATAAAATCCGTTAAAAATTCTGTTAAAATGTTGAAATTCCGAATGTTTCTGTTATATTAGGGTCTATACGCCAACGTAGATCTGCATAGGCAACTTTTTTCATAAGCCATTGCCAAATGCGAAACTTAAAAAAAATCGGTGAAAAATCTGAATATATACGAAGACGTGGACCTGCAGGGACAATTTTCTGTCCTAGCCTGTTTTATCCATTACGAACTTCAAATACCAAATCTGAAACAATTCCTGTGATAAATGTCGCTAAAATAATAAAAAAATCTAAATAACGAATAACGGGAGTTGCCGTTATATGGGGGCTATACGAAGACTCGGACCTGCACATCCAATTTTCTGCCTTAGGCTGTAGTATCCATTACAAACTTCAAATACCAAATTTGAAACATTTCCGGTGATCAATGTCGCTTAAATCACCAAAAATACCGAAAATAGGGAGGTATCATTATACAGGGTGAGATAAATGATCTGCAACAGAGTCAAAAGCCATAATTTTTACATTTTTTTTTTTAAATTTTAATGAGTGAGAGTAAAAAATGTCGGAAATAGCCTCAAATTTTAGATAAAGTGTAAATTTGTTCGAATTGGTCGCCTTTGGCACGAATTTTGGCCTTCAAACGGCCAATGAAACCGTCACACACTGCCCGAATGCTGCTCTGCGGTATTTTGGCCAATTCCCGGCGAAGCGCTTGCTTGAGGTGATCGACACTTTGGTATTTGTTAGTGCCAAGCTTGCTTTTCAAAATACTCCCGACACAATAGTCCAACGGATTGGTATCCGGAGTTTTTGGTGGCCATTGACGGCACTGGAACTGAATCGAGGAACCTCATTTTGTAACCATTCTTGGGTGGCGCGTGCTGAGTGCGATGGTGCTGAGTCCTGTTGAAATGTCCAAGGTCTGCGGCCAAAATTTTTGCGTGGCCATGGCCGGCGCTTTAGTTCTGGTGGCAAACCAAAGGTAGACATTTTCAGCTGACTTCTTTGGCAAGTAAACACGATCATTTTTGTTTGTTTACTGCTGGACAATGAATGTTTTCTCATCGGAGCGGAAAATATCAAATCCGGCAGTTCACCACTTTCGGGTAAGCGAAGCAACTCTTTAAGAATTTGGAATTTTACTTTGACTTTTTGGAATTTTAATGGCTTTACCCCGAGCTCATTTGTCAATACTTGGCGAATGGAATAATGCGATATTTTTAGCTCATGAGCCATTTTGCGGCCACTGCGACGAGGATTTCGATCAAGTCGCTTCTTTACTTTTCGAACCATTTCTGCTGATGTTGCTGTTTTCTTCCTTCCACTTCCTTGGCGTCGGGCTACGCTACCCGTGTCATGGTAACGAGCGATGATACGAGACACAAAAGATTTATTCACATTTAAATGCTGGAGTGCTCTAACGATAGCCACTTGTGGTTTTCCGACCAAATATAAAGAAATCACACTATCATCAATTCCATCACGAATAACTTTTATTCTGGAAAATTCTCGCCTTTTGCATGCTGGTAAACAATATAATGGGTTGTCACTGGAATAATTTTAACAGCTGTCGGACGAGTGGCTTAGAAATGGTAGCAGTCTGAAGTTGGTTGCAGTTTTTTAATTTCACCCTGTATACCCTCTCTAGCCACATGGCTGAGGGTATAAAAATTAAAGAAAATAAATCATTACAGCCTCAAGGAGTACTGCAGGTGGCAGCTCTGTCGCTTAGTGTAGTATGTCATAAAATTTAATAAATTTCTTTTTAATATAGGCTAAGTTATAACTCAAAATTTATTTAAATCATCGATGCTTTATGGTCGATATTGGTTATTTTTTTTTATCATTTCTTTTATATGTTAATTTTTATTTTTTCATTGCGTCCGTTTGCTACCCCTCAATCCCTGAAATGTTAGTTTTTTTCAATTCTGGCTACGTTTAACATTTTTCTTCATAAATAAATTGAAGGAATTACCATTTGAATTCCTTAAAACAATTTATCAAAAAACTTACCAATTTTAACCAAATGTTTGTTATCAGCAATTGATTTTTTTCGTCCTGCAAAGAAAGAAAATTGGAAATATTAAAAAATTATTCTCGATTAAATTGGTTCGATATGCAATTTCCAAAAAAAGGGAATTGTGGTTTAAGAAAACTGAAACTGTAACAAATCGTTTGCCATAAATTTAATTTAATAGAAAAACTTTTATATTTTAAAATTTATTTTCAATTAAAATGTTTCCTTATGGCTCAAGTGTGTGTGTATTTGTGTGAGTGTGTGATAGAGTGCGTGTGTCGAAAAAATCGCTGGGGTGAACAGCTTTACTGCGAGTTTCTCAACAGTTTGTCGAAAAAAAATTTCAGTTGTTTGTTTCTGTTTTGAGGTTTCTAAATTTATTGCTTCGAAAGTTTGCTTCACATGAGTCCACCAGAGGCCAAATGAATTGCAACATTTAAACATGTCTGCGTCTGTGGCTGCTAAGCTAAGCTGAAGAGAGCGTGAAGAGAGAGAGAGAGAGAGAAACTTCGCACATATTGCAGTTGTGTGCGTTTATTGCATGATATAATTGGTAATGTATTATGGTCATGAAGTAAAGTTTGCGCATATTATTTAAATGCGGATATGAAAGAGTTTGGAGGAATTTTGGACGTTTTGGTAGAGAATTTAATTTAATGTATGTGTTTTACTAATTTTCTCATTATAAATATAACAAAAAATATTCAAATTATAGCAAAATTGCATGAATTTTTAGCTTTTCTCTATGGATACCTGCCATATAACGGTACCGGCTAATTTAAAGATTAATTATGGCCCCATCGAAGAGACTGTAATTTAGGATTTGGTGGAAAATATTCTCTCAAAATATGCAAATCCACGTCATATACTACACCAGTTTTTCACCTGATTTGTGTTTTAGGTTAAAAATGCAAGGAACCATTTTCAACAACTAAAATTTTTAAATTTTACATGTGGAGTGATGTTGATGTTTAGGGGTGATATAAGGTTAGATTTTTTTGGAAATTCTAAATACAGGGGTACTAATTGTACAAGCTTTCTAAATGTTTCAATATTAATAAATAGATGTATCTCTTATAAACATAAATGTTTGTAATAAAATTTTGGAAATTCGTACTGGAACGGTGCAAGATGTATTTATTTATATTGGGCGAACGGAGAGAGCTTGAATTAGAAAATACAAAATCATTTTACTTCGGACAGTACTAAAAGCCACTAATTTGGTGCCATATGGTTTTTATACACTCCACCATAGTATGGAGGATATATTAAGTTTGTCATTCCGTCTCGAAATGTAATCTACCCTACAAAGTATAAATATTCTTGAACAGCGTAAAATTCTATGTCGATTTGACGATGTCCGTTCGTATGTCTGTCTGTGGAAACCACTCTAGTTTCCGAACGAATTGAATTTGATTGAAAACATTTTACTTAGATTTGTGTTTGTTCTGCAGGATTTTTGGTATTGAAAATGAACTGTATAGGTCTACGTTTTGGTATAGCCCCATATAAAGGTACCCCCATATATTCGGTATTTGAATGATTTTAATTGATTCATTCGCTGGAATTATTTCAAATTAATCGACCGTGGCATCAGACTAAATGCCGATTATTATCGCCAAAAAAAAAAAAAAAAAAATCCTGGAGGATGTATTTAAGCCTTGGACGGATGTATTTAAGTATTTTGGACGCAGACCTTGAACATTTCAACAGGACTCAGCACCATCGAACTCAGCACGCGCCACCCAAGAATGGTTACAGAATTAGGCCACCAAAATCTCCGGATACCAATCCGTTGAACTATTTTGTCTGGAGTATTTTGGAAAGCAAGGTTGGCACTGAAAAATACCAAAGTGTCGATCACCTCAAGCAAGCGCTTCGCCGTGAATGGGTCAAAGTACCGCAGAGCAACATTCGGGCAGCATGTGACGGTTTCAAAAAAAAATTAAAATTAAAAAAAAAAAAAATAATTAAAAATAATGTCGATTGACTTTGTTGCAGTTTTTTATCTCACCCTGTATATACAATTCAGTGTTTTTATACGGCCGAAACATGCCTCATCGAAATAGTGGTTTTAGACTCTAGGTCTCTTTGGAAAAATTCATTTCAGGACATTTGGAGTCGATCTAGCGATGTCCGTCAGTCTGGTTGGTGAGCGCGATAACTCTCGAGGGGAGTATCTGATTTTGTGCAAATTTGTTATGTCGTAATATTGTTATCAAAATTAGTTCAGAGTTGGGAGATGGGAAACATCAGTTCACTGCTTTTTGGTCAAAGGTCAAAATTTTCACAGAAAAAAATACCTCATAAACAAGAAAGGGTAGCCTATTTTTGAACAAAATTTGCTAATCCCAATTACCTCCCCTACAGAGGGTCGAAATGTGGAATAATTAAAACTCTTTTAAAATGTGAATGATTGTCTTCAAATATCGTGCATCTCAATTTTTATCAACGCAAGGTATAATGTCACTATTGGATATAGCGGTTTAATCCTTCAGGTACCTACCCCACAACGGCTCAAATTTTTGAATTATCGACTCTCTTAAAAAGTGTGAAATAAGAGCAGCATGGTTTTCTAGTTTGGCACATCTCCATATTTCTATTAACACAAGATCGGATATGAAGAACGAAACAAAAAAAAAAAAAAAAAAAAAACAAAACAAGACCTAGTATGAAGGTGGGTTGCATCCGCCTACTCCTTCTGGTACCACCCCACAGAGGGTTAACATTTTTGAATAATTATAACTCCTATAATTCTTCAAACCACACACATCACTATATTGTTATTAACCCAAAGTGTGGTGTGAAGATGGAATAGATCGGTCCACTCCTTCTGGTACCTCCCACACAAATGGTCAACATTTTGAATAAACGTGAAGCACATAAAACATCCGATTCCTTGCAAACTTGGCACATCTAAATATTTTTTATCAACACAAGATCCGCTGTAAATATGGTAGAAATCGGAACATTCCTTATGGTACCTCCCCCACAAAGGGTCAAAGTTCTGAATAATTATAATACCTATAAAATGTCAAATAAGAGTCCCATTGTCTTAAAATTTTCAGTATCAGAGGAGGTGAAATACTTCGATCCCCAATATATGTTAGCTCACCCACATTTCAAAAATTTTCCAAAATGTTTACATATCTCAAGAAATCTGGAGAAAATAGTCGATATTGACCAAATCTGGTGCACTGTAACATTTATACAAGGCTTAAGTCAGATACGAAATAGAAAAAATATTGGCAGTTTTTTAGAACTTCCCCTACAATGGTTGAACATTTTGAATAATTATTACGCAAGGCTGGGGTTATTCATATGTCGGCAGAACCAATAAAAGTAAGCAATTTAATTTGTCGATAGTTCAAAATATAGACTCACTATTTTTATTCAAGTATTTACTTCAAATACTTCTGGGCAGTATTTCGAAACTGCTGCCGGAAGGTACTCAAAGCAAATATTTGTATAAAAATAATGATTCCATTTTTGAACCCTTTACTGAGTCCATATTAAAGCTTGGACACATGGCGACAAACAAAACAAATATTCCCAATAGCCTTTGGCAATCTTCAAGAATTGTATTTTTTATCTCCACCGATGCAGGCAAGAAATGCAGAATTCTTGTTATTAATTCCATTGCCTAATGAAATTATAAATCAAAATTGGCCTGTCGTCGATTTATTAGTCATTTCGAGATATATTGACATTGAAGTAGGCTTTTAGCACATTCCCATATTTACTGCATTATACACACACAGGCACACACATATCTGCTGTCATTTTCCATGCACACACACACACACTCTCAGTCACACACATGCCTAGAACGTTTGGCCATAAATTAGACTCGATATCTTCAACAAAATGTTACACGAAAAATGTGGCAGGCAACAAAATGGCAAATGTGATGGCAAACAGTGTTTCAAAAAAAAAAAAAAAAAAAAATAATAATAATAATAATAATAATAATAATAATAATAATGGATGGAATTAAAGCGTGATAGTGTGATTTCTTTATATTTGGCTCGAAAACCACAAGTGGCTATCGGTAGAGCACTCTAGCCTTTAAATATGAATAAATCTTTTGTGTCTCATACAATCGCTCGTTACGCTACCGGTATGTAGCCCGACATCAAGGAAGTGGACGGGAGAAAACAGCAACATCAGCAGAAATGGTTCAAATAGTAAAGAAGCGTCTTGATCGAAACCAGCGTCGCAGTGGCCGAAAAATGGCTCGCAAGCTGAACATATCGCAATATTCCATTCGGCAAATATTGAAAAATGAGCTCTGGGTAAAGAAAACATTCGTTGTCCAGCAGTTTGTAAACAAACCAAATGATCGCGTTTACTTGCCGAAGAGGTCAGCTGAAAATTTGTACCTTCGGTTGGCAACCAGAACCATGGTGATGGTGTGGGCTGCCATAACAGCCGATGGTCTCTCTCCGCTCATATTAATCGACCGTGGTATCAGAATGAATGCTGAATATTATCGCGAAAATATTCTGGAGGATAATCGACCGGGGCATCAGAATAAATGCCGAATATTATCGCGAAAATATTCGGGAGTGTGTATTAAAGCCTTGTGCACGCAAATATTTTAGCCACAAACCTTTGATATTCTAACAGGACTCAGCACCATCGCACTCAGCACGCGCCACCCAAGAATGGTTACAAAATGTGGTTCCTCGCTTCATTTCCACGGCACAATGGCCACCAAATCTCCAGATACCAATCCGTTGGACTATTGTGTTTGGAGTATTTTTTGGAAAGCAAGGTTGGCACTAAAAAATACCAAAATGTCGATCACCTCAAGCGAGCGCTTCGCCGGGAATGGGCCAAAATCCCGCAGATCAACAATCGGGCAGCGTGTGACGGTTTCATTGGCTGTTTGAAGGCCATAATTCTTGTCAAAGGTGAACAATTCGAACAAATCTAAACTTCTTCTAAAATTTGATGCTATTTCCGATATTTTTTTGATTTCATTCAATAAAATTAAAAAAAAAAAAAAATTGTAAAAATTATGGCAA